CGGAAGAGCATCGACCATGTAAGCTGCGATGTCCTTGGCTGTTCGTGGGCCTTGGTAGTCTTTTGGCAAACGCTTCTTGGTTGGAGGGAAGAGCTTGAGTGTAGGGAATCCCTGAATGCCGTATCTGCCACAGGTGGGCTTGTTCTTGTCGTCGTCACAGTCGATCGATGCGAGCTTGACCACTCCATCGAGCTGTGCAGCGACCTTTGAGTAGTCGGGAACGAGCTTCTTACAGTATCCGCACCAGGGAGCGGTGAAGGCGACCATGGTTGGCTTCTCGATGTCGAGCACTTCTCGCTTGAAGTTGGCAGAGTCGAGAATGGTGACTTTTGAGTTCTTGGAGAAGAGGGCGGCCTCGGTGGCGCCCAGAAGGGCGATGGCCAGCAACAGCAAGCTGCACGCCAGTCTCACTCTTGATGGCATCATGTTTGGAGATCCGCTCCAGATAAGGATCGTGAGTGGTGATATCCAAGTTGCAAGGAGTGCGGAAGAATGATGGATCGGTGAACGACTCCCTGTTGTACTTCCCCACACAGCGAGCTCAGACCTTCAAAAGTTGACGTGGAAGCTTCGCCGCCGAATTAAGGCTCGCTTTTCCGAAACCTAACATCCTGAAACACGAGCTCGGAACTCGGCTCTTTTGTGCCTGAAAGTCTGTTCCGATTTCTTCTTGAAGCAAAGACCCTTCTTCGTGATACCTGGAGAGCACCATCTATCACGACCTGCTCAATTCACTACCTTCTCACTGTTTGCAGTCGGAGACAGCGCTCTGAAGGCGGAAGGACAATAGCCCTGATGCGGCGATCGAGCGGCACTCTGTCCGGTAGAGATGCTTATCGAACGCTATGGCAGCAGCAGAAGCAGCAACCGCATCGTCCGCTGAGCTCGGCTACCATCTATCCCGGATACGCCTGGCCTGGTGCAAGCTCGGCTTCGGCCTCAGCATCCTCGTCTTCGCTGCCTTTATCCATATTCTCTACAGGCTCGTCGTCATCGAAGTCGAAGGTTTCTAGATCGTCCCGACTATGGCTCACATCCCTCGCATACTCGACCTCCAATCCAGTATACCCACTCCCCGGCTCGAACAACGACATCGATCCTCGCGGAGTCGATTACTCTGTCTTCGAACCAGAGGATGCTGCATACAGCCAATATGCATCAACCTCGGTTATTGCTGGAGAGGCAAACGAATCGCAGCATGATACCTCTTCCTCCTCGCTAAACGCAGATTCCAGCATCAACAGTCTTTCTCCACCATCACAGCTGCTCATCCGTCTAATAAGAGATAAAGACTTCGAGACAGCAACGACCATTCTCGAGGAACTCAAGACGCTACATACCCCGCTCAATGAGCTGATGCCAGACTTTGCACCCGCGGCGCTCTGGGCTATCCAAAACGGCAAAAAGACAGAAATGATCTACTGGATGCGACTATGTCCCGGTTACACTCCAGGTACCAGGCGACTCGAAACGGCTTCCGCCCATAAGAGCAAAGCACAGGTTGCTTCTGTAGCGTCCTACTTTCGAAAATGCTTTATCGTGCTTCTCGATTCGTACGGTGACGATCTGCGTTTGTTGCAACGAGCAAGTATGCTTGCGGTAGAAAAGGGAATGTGGAGCGTACTTCAGTCGACGCTGGCTCAGATCATCCGATTTGGTATGGGAAACTTGATGGGTCCAGCATGGTCAAACTCGATCTTGGGATGGCAGTACTTCACCCGTCTAATGCAGGCCAATCAAAGTCAAAGAGGCTTGAAAGACAGGGGAAGGCAAGCAGCAATCAAGTTAACCACGCTTAAGCTGCGTGCGTTGTACAATCTTGGTATTCGCACACTAGCACTAGCTGGGCGACTGGACGATGCGATCTACTGGGCGGAGAAAAGCACAGAGGCAGCCGACGAGCACCATGGCTATTCGCAGATCGTACGACTGGAACTTTTCACGGAGAAACTGCTCGTTGAAGAGCTCATTCGAGCTGGAGGAGGCTATTTAGATCAAGCTCAGCAACTTGCCAAGAATGTGTCCCGCGCTCGTACAGGGTCTGGGAAGTGCAAGAAGCTCGATATCGACAGAATTCGGAGCCAGATCGAGCGGGAGACGACACAGGCTTCGGCAGCGAAGGATCAAGACTTTGGAGCAGCAAGATCAGAATCTGTCCTCGATCAGACAATCCAGTCGTATATAGACCAAGGCGACGTCGTTACAGCCAGAGACCATCTTCTTTCCGTTCTGGAGTCGGCTTCACGGATTCAGTATGGACCAGACGAGTCAATTCCGGCTCGCGATGCTCTCTACGCAGTTTCATCAGATGTAAACTTTGGACATCTTCCCTCAGCCAGGGTACTATCAGATCTCCACGACTTGGCCAACAAACATGGCATTATTCCTATCACAGTCTCTCTCACTGAAACAGACCTGATCCAAGTCGCCGCTCCTGACGGCTCACATGATGCATACCGATCCCAAGAAATGCTGACGGCGGAAGAGTTTCTGCGCCCGGTCCGAAAGAAGCTTCTCATGGTCAAAGGAGGTAAAGGATTATGGCAGACAGCGAGGCTTTATGGATATATCAAGAAGGGTCAATGGACAGATGCTGTTCAGTACTACATTGACAAAGCTGGCTTCAGAGTACCTGCTGGAGGTATCAGTATTAAGCTCATCTCTCTTGCGCTAGATCAGCAACCTTTGCCGAAAGCGAGTAAGCGGGAGCAACTGAACAAAACACAATGGTTGCGTGGCAGAGACTGGCCTTCAACACATGCCATAAACTTGATGCTCAGGGCGATCGTTGGAATCTGTGTTGATGCAAAGGACTATTCTCGCCTCACTCAAGTGTACCGGATGTGGAGAGAGGCATCCATGCCGACTAGGCTCTCGGAAGAGGATCAAAAGGCGGAAGAAGCGGAGGAGTTAGTCTTTCAGGAATGGCTGCCATCGCAACGGCCGGACAGCTACACCTTTGATCCTTTCATTCGCACGTTCGGTCGACTCAATGTCGAGGTCGAATCCGACTCGCCATCATCGTCCTCCTCACCTGCAGCGAAAGAGGGAAGCGGAACAGCTCGAACAGATATACAAACCTGGGGCTCAAGTCAAGCAGTCCTCGATCTGATCCGTGATATGACGGACGTCTTCTCCATCCGACCCAGCATCAGCACTTGGACCATCGCCCTCGAATGCCTTGCTCGCGAAGGACGCTCACGTTGGACAGCTACCACCTCCATCCTCGCCCGCGCTGTCGGCATCAACACTACCTCCCCTCTCTCCTCTTCCTACACAATGGTACAGAGGGCCGAAGATAACTTTGCACCAGCGAACTCGGTCACTTACACCGCAATGTTGCGGGCGCTGATCCGCGTTCCGCGTGAAGACGGAGGAAGTATGGTGGAAGAAGCTGCTGCAATCAGAGACGATCTATTGGTGAGGACGATGGATTTGGATGTAGCGGTGAGGCAGATGTTGCTTGTGGAGGCAGAAGAGCAGAATGATGAAGGTCAGCAATTCTGGAGAGATCTGTTGCAGAGATGGCAGACGGTACAGGAGGCGGTCTTCACGCGAGGCAACACAGCATCAGACGAGAGAGCAAGATGGCAAGCAGCAGAGATGATCAGAGCGAATGGCCGACGTACGATTGAAGCAATGCATGAGCTGTGGGTGCTGGAGTCAGCGGCAGAAGCTGACAGAGAGGCTTCCACAGCGTAATACCTACACACTACCACTACGAATAACATCGTCATATCCCGACGTGTTGCGTCCTTACTTCGATCATCTTTGCGCCTGTGATCACGTGTCATACTTATGATTCAGGGTCGAGTTCCGGTAATCGCGAGGAAGGGGAACGACTGGGTCCCACCAGCCTCGATCTCCTTGTCCATCTTGAAGCTTTCAAAGACCTGAATGTCTTTGAAGCCGGCTTTGTTCAAGATCTGTTCCATCTCGGTACGCTTCAGGCCATGACGCTCCACGCCAGCATGCTGTCATTCGCATGTAAATACAATCGTGTCAGCATTCTTGTCCCTCTTATACTCTGCCTTCGAGTCTCAGACTTACCTTGTCTTTCGGATGAAAAGCTTCAGCCTGAACGCCATCATCCTCAAAGTCTGAAATCCACAGCCTTCCACCCTGCTTCAGCGTTCCCTTCATCACATGGACCAGCTCCGCCATATTCGGGACATGATGGAAGACGAGATGGCTTACTACCGCATCAAACTTCTTTCCACCTAGCACCGAATCCTCTGAATCTTCTAACAGCTTTACTTTGGCCTCTACCTTTCCCTGAACTCCTTGCTTAGCCAGCTTGGAGTTGAGCATGTCAATCATGCCTTGTGCCGTGTCTAGCGCGACAATTGACTGGACATGCTGTGCGAGTGGGAGGGTGAGCAAGCCTGTGCCACAGCCGATCTCGAGGATGTCGGAGGAAGCAAGGTTTGGGAAGTGTTCCTGGTGAGAGAGGATGGCTTGGAGACAGAGACGAGAAGATTCAACAACTTCAGGTTTGGAGTCCCAAGTGGCTGCTTCTGCGTCGAATCGGTCATTGCCGGCTGAGTAGTTGGGAATTGTCGAGGTCATTGTGAGCCAGAATCACCAGGTCGGTATGCTTGGGAACTGACGGAGCCGCTCGTGGTGATAGGAAGAGAGGTTGTTGGTATCAAACATGGCGGAGTTTGGCATTGCATGTTAGCCGGTTCCTGGCCTATGCTCATGCCACGTCAAGTTTACCTCGCAGAACAGGGTCCAAGCTGATGTCTTGAAGCTTTGACAAGCAACAAGCTGTATCGTTCGACGACAGCAAAGACTCATCACACCGGATAGACACCAATCATTACTTTACAACCCTTCATTCTGGTCACCTCAAAGTGGAGCGATCACGAATGACGACTGCAAGACATCCGCCCAGCTATCTTACCAACTCGTAGAGATGTGGGCTTCCGGCTCTTGTTTTGTCGCTCACAAGCTGTTCAACTGGTTATATAATTGCAAACATTTCCCAACACAGCACATCCCAGTTAGTACAATGGTTAGTATAGGGCACTCTCAGTTGTTTGCAACCGGTCTTTTCAACCGGGATTGATTGTTCTGCTCAGATCAGGGTTCGATTCCCTGGCCGGGAATTTTTTTTATTTTTTTATTTTTGCTTTTCATGTCGATGAGTTCTTTATTTTCCCAGCAGTCTGAGGGTCTTTTTCTTCTTCTTCTGGTGACGAGCTGACAAGATGAACAATCAATCAGAGGTGTATCCGAGTGATAGTAGCAAAGCTATCTGCAGCGATGGTATGCTCGCATGCTTGGTCTGTCATGTTGCCATGGTGCTGCCACACGTGTTCATGTCTTGAATCTCTTTTAGTTACCGCTCAGGAGTGTCTGTCTGCAAGATCTTTGAAAGGCCAATTTTCCGAGGTGGAGTGGAGCGCGCACGCGCACGGCTTTTCGAGCTTAAACACCATCCCAAAAAAACAAATTTGGGACCTGGAGAAAAGCTGCCCGTGTTCCGACTTTCGTGTCAACTACATCGAGATCGACTTTTCAGCTTCCGTTACGGCTTGGTGCTACAGTTTAAGGTGTTCGCAAACAGCTCTCCGACCGTCTCAGGTAGACCTGCACTTATTACGCCCCTGGCACTCGAACGATCCACATCAAGTGACTCGAGGCCAAAGCTCTGCATCTTTCGGATCACGGGTTCCGCTTCCGACCGGAGCTGATGGACTTTCGGCTTACAGACCATACGTATTCGACACTCCTTCCACTGCAGACCAATCTACATTAGCTGCTCTTCCCCGAGCGCCTACTTGACCCACGTATAATTATATCAGTCATGAGCAGCGCAGCGACCTCAAGCAAGCGGCGTCCTCTGCCCGTGGAAGAGGACTTCTCGCCCAAACACTCAAAGGTAGCACAACTTCTGACGGAGACACCTGAAGGCGCCAACGCCTCAGCCGTATCTACGCCAGCTTCCGAGATGATGCCCTCGTCCGAGATTCCATCGACGCCTCTCATAGGGCCAGGAACGCCTGACTCTGAGGGCGAGCCTATTGTTGCCACCTCGACCGTCACCACCACCATCTCGAACCAACACGGCAGCGGCTCCTCTACCGTTGAGTTCCAGCACATCGGTGCGAAGGGGCTCTCGCATCGAATCGACAAGGATGGTGCCATTCAACTCAAGCCAGTGGCAGCCTCGTCCAAGTCACGCAAGAAGATGCATGCGGTCGTCAGCTTCAAGCCTCGAAACAGTCACTTCGACCGCTTCAACGAGACATCTTCACGCGATCAGTTCCGAGGCTTCTTTACTCTCTTCTGGGTCTGCCTAGCCCTCTTCGTCCTGAACACTTCCTACACCAGCTGGAACAGCACCGGTCAAGTGCTCAGTATGACTTTTGCGACTCTCTTCAGCGAGGACGCTTGGATGTTGGCGCTGTCCGACGGTGTGCTCATTGGCTCCCTCTTCATCTGCGTTCCTTTCGCTAAAGTTTGCCGTCGAGGCTGGGTCCGCTATTGGCCAACTGCCGTCGTCTTTCAGCATCTGTGGCAAACGGCCTTATTGGGTCTTGTGATCAAGTGGGCAAGGTACAGAGAGTGGCCCTGGGTGCAGAGTGGCTTCTTCGTCCTCCATACGCTCTCCATGATGATGAAGATTCATTCGTACATGAACGTTAACGGCAACATGGCTGACACCTACCACCGCATGCGCCGCATCGAGACCATGCTCGAGGAGCGTGTAGCGGAGGTCGAAGGGGCCGAAGCTGGCAGGGGCGACGAACAGCTCAAGGCTGCATGGGGCAAAGCGGTCCGACTAGCCCGACAAAACGCCGGTTTTGCCAACGAGAAGGACTCTGTGACGGCACAGAAGCTCTCAGAATGGTCTTCGCTGAAGAGCCAGAGAGGAAGCAGTTCAAGTCGACAGATGCTCGGACAGAAACTCAATGCAGTTTCCGACGATGCGACTGAAGCAGTCGCGCTCACCCTCCAGGATCAGACACAAGAAAACGGAGAGGACAAGGAGGCTGCCAAGGCGAGCGAGAAGAAACTCACTCGAGAAGAGCACATGCAGCTGCATAAGGAGAAATCGGAGAAAGACAAAGCTGATCGCAAAGCGCATAATGTCGACAACTCAAAGGACGAGAAGCTCAGTCGTCGTCGTTCGACTTCTCGAAGCGCTGCCAGCGGAAGTGACTCGCAGTCGCACCAGATACGTGATCCTCACCCTCTTTCTTCGCATCTTGACAAGCTCATCTCGGATCTGGCCCGCGAGATCGAAATCCTTCGCGAAGACCTCCTTTCTGCCCGTCCTTCGCCGGATCCCTCAGGCGAGCTCATCCCTCAAGATCCTGTCATGTGGCCTGCGAATGTCACTTATGCTAACTTCTGGGACTACCTTCTCGTTCCCACACTCGTCTACGAGCTCTCTTACCCCCGTCTCAAGACAATTCGTCCGCTCTACGTTGTCGAGAAGACCCTTGCTACATTCGGGACCTTCTTGGTCATCTACGTCATCACCGAGCACTGGATCATGCCCTTCACCCCGACCGCTGACACTCCCTTCCTCCGTACATTCCTCCAACTGGCAGTGCCGATGATGATCAACTACCTCCTCATCTTCTACATCATGTTCGAGTGCATCTGCAACTGTTTTGCCGAGCTGACACGTTTCGCGGACCGCGAGTTCTACCTCGACTGGTGGAACGCTACCAGCATGGAAGTCTTCAGTAGAAAGTGGAACAAGCCGGTGCACTCGTTCCTCTTAAGGCACGTGTATGCAAGCACGATTGCAGCTTGGGGCTTGAGCAAGAGCATGGCCATGTTCTTGACTTTCTTGCTGAGCTCGTTGGTACACGAGCTGGTCATGGCGATTGTCAGTGGCAAGATCAGGTTCTATCTGTTTGCAGCACAGATGGTGCAGCTACCATTGATCATTATCAGCCAGGTCCCATTCATCAAGCGGAACGAGACGCTGGGGAACATGATCTTCTGGATCGGACTCATGGCCGGGTTCCCATTGCTCAATATCGGGTATCTTGTCTACTAAACTCAATACATACACAGCCTAGAAACGGATAAAATTAGGATACCTTCAGATTGGGTCGGTTCTGATCTCGAGCTTGGGCGCTCCGGTCTCATTGCAGATACAAAAGAATCCAGACAATATAGCATGACACATCCCTCCCATCAATGGCAAGTCTTGCTCTGTGTGTGCTGCTTGTGTATTTCCAGCGGAATTCAGTTTGAGCAGGTGATTGGGGTTTGGAGTCGCAAATCGGATACTGTAGCTCTCGTGTCTTCTCCGCCGCTCTCAAAACGGAAAGCCACCGGTTCGAACTTGCGTCATTGCTTCTTTTGGTCTTCATTGTATGCAATGCAGAGTGTAAGGGTTCGATCTCGGAGACTTGCTGACCCCTCTTCCCTTTGTGGTCTTCTCCGGATTCGTCAAAACAAGGAAATGGAAAAAAAAAATCAAAAAATCAGCTTCCCTTTGTTCTTCGACATTTCATAGTGAAAAATTCAAGGCATTGATCGTGGCGCCCAGCGACGATGCCTGCAACTTCCCTTTGTGCAAACAACCCTTTGTTATGACCCAATGCGGCTTCATCATCGTACATGAAATGGAAGAGTAGCCGTGCACACTGAAATCTTGGCCGTAAGGCTTCCGACTCCGGCAAGATGAAAGGGAACCGGATCAAAGCGTCGGCGGCGAATTAATTCGCAATGGCGTTCGCGTGGGAGATCTAAGCGAGCTGTCACCGCAGCCAACCATTGCGCACACGCGCACTACGCCCTGCTCCTGCATCCATATGCGTCTAATGAGGTAAGATATGGACCCACAAAGAGTTGCGTGCTTGTGATGGAGAGAACAACGGAAGCTGTGAACCACAAAGGAGACAAACGAGAGTGTTGTTTCAAGTGTGTCGGCTTCTCTCTCCGGTCGGAAGAGCGACAGTCCCTGTCAAAGGGGCCCCCCGCTTACGTAGCTCCGACACTGTAAGGACCCTTTGAAGCCCTTCCTCTTCAGCCCCTGCTTCCGTCGTCGAGTCCAAACGACTTATAAGATCTCTGCCAATCCTTGGTCTCACTGTCGCTGTCTCTTTCCCCTCCTTTCCTATCCACTCACCAGCCCATCCAGTTCGTTCCCCTTGCACGAAAGCTAGCCTTCGACAACATGTCCGTCGCTACACGTCCACGCTCTCACACTGGGCAGTCCGTCTCTGGTTCCGCTCCTTCCACATCTACCTCTGCCTCGAATAATTCTGCGACAAATCAACTGCCACCTCGATTCAACAACTTCCGTCCAGCCCGTTACCAGACCAAAGAAGAGCTCGATCGTTTCTTCGGCACTACCACGGTTCAAAAGCGTGAACAACGCTTGCGTGTTCGCGAGACCGATGGTCAAGTGTTTTTCGATTGGATCGAAAGAGATGAATGGCAACACTTGCTCGCAACTGGCTCACTCACCAGTCCAAACTCTCCAAGCGATCCAAATGGTAGGAGGAGGAGCAGCGCAGCAACATTCCTGACACTCCACTCGCCGCTCTTTCCTACCAGTCCGGCCAGAAGAGCTAGTCTGGCAACGTCTGGTACGCCAGGATGCCTCAGCCCGCTGACAGGACAGTTCGATATGGTCACCATCCGCGCGGCAGGCGATGGTGAGAGTACTGATGCGGGCGAGCGAAGGGGTAGAAAGAGGAGCAACAGCGCCTTGCAGACCGGTAAAAGGAATGGATTGGTCGAAGATCAGCTGCCTCTTTCTGGAGGTAGTGAGGAGGGAAGGAACTGGTTCAATGGTAACGGCTTCAAGCGTCGTCAGAGTGACACATCGGTCTTTCCTTCGCGTCAAAGCTTTTGCGCTCCAGAAGAGTCGCATGATCCGCAAAGCAACAATGATAGGATCCGAATTGCACGTCTTCCACTCGGTCATCGCAAGTTGGACAAGGACTCGCTCGATCAAGCTTTCGGTGGTCTCCCTTCTTCTGCTCCTTTGATCGACATCTCATCGAAGCTTTCTGCAAGATCCCACAAACCAGCTACCCTCCAGATTCCCACTCAGGAGAAGTCGTCATTGATTGAGAACAATGGTGCAGCTAGCCCTGTGACATCGATCGGAGTCGACGGGTGCACGTTT